CATCATAGGGTTTTCTGTCACTAATTTAAAAACCAAGAAGGATTTGGTCCAAATCAGAGGCCCAGTATAGGAAGCCTATCTCATTTGAAAATATGTATATATAAAATTTCCTAAATTGAGCATATAAAACTCTCTACAAACCATACACTGGCACAGATATTGCATATATGGAGCTTTGGAAAACAGTAAGAATTATATCATCCTAAAGCTTAAAGGCACCTTCTTTCATTTCACCAATGAGGAAACTGAGGCCCACTAAGCCAAGTGACCTGGCCAAGGTGACGCAGGACTTATTAAAGCAGAGCTGGGTCTGGATGCCAGGTCTCCCGAGATGTCAGCATTCTTCAGCATTCTTCCCACTACACAAAACTCACCCGGATCCCTGGCCAAATTTAAATCTGCCCATAGGCCTGAGGACAACTGCAGGGAAGGAGAGCCAGCTTCTAAATATTCAAAACTATGTTAATCTCACAATTCATGAGCTGGCAGCGGCATCCCAAAAGCAGCAGGGTGGAAAAGAGGAGGGAAAACAAACAGCAGGATGAGACAAAAGAGAGAGGAGAAAAAGAGAATGAGCACCCATATTCTGATTTTCTTAGATGAATTCTTATTGAGTGGATGGCTCTCACCTGAGAAGCCCCTTCCCTAAACCATCTGCCCCACTTATCTGCCTACGATTCTCACTGATGGGGTCATTATTTTGAGGTTAAGGCATAATTTCCCAAAAGCCCCTGTTAAAAATTATAAATATTGTACTAGAAAGAAGCGATACATTCAGGCATGTGTCAACTTCATTTATCAAATTAGCAGAAAACCAAGCAGGGACCTGACAAGTCATATACAATAGAACTTTTGATGAAGGACAGGGAAAGGCTTGGAGTCATACTCAAAGGGGGACTACTAAGCTTCTGTGGGATATCATGGGGTCACTGAGTACCTTGGGGGATAGAGGGAAATATCACTGAGATAGAGTAGAGGCAACATCATCATCATCATGATAATTTTCATAATGTCTCATGGTCATCCCACACTGGTACCAGTTTTATAGGGCTGTGAGTCATGGGATGCTAAGTCTCTGGACAATTCAAAATGATTATCACTCAAAGAATTAGAGAGAGGTGCATGGTGGGTGTGGGTAGGCTACAACCTATAAAAATGAATGAATGGATGTATAAAAAACTCAATACGTACCAAGGACTGTGTTACACACCAGCAATTCAACTAGAAAAAGAAGATAGTCCTTGCTCTCAAGTAGCTCCCATGGGAAGACAATATAGAAATGAAGAAAGATAAAATTAGGAACTATGAAGAGCTGGACTTATGGGGATGTCATCAAAGAAATTCACGATAGAAAAAGATGAGCTCGCTACGTGTTAAGGGTGAAGACTTGGCACTGGATGGCCCATTCCCTTTTATGGGGATGCTCTTCATGTCAAGCCCACTGTATGGAACATGTTTGAACTTGAGGGAGTCCATTGACAGGACCACACCAAATGGGCAGGAGGGGTGGCAATCTGCACTGCTGGAGGGAACGTAGATTTATTATAAGTCATAGATCATAGATCTATTTGGTCATTACAATAGCTCACATTTCTATAGTACTTCACAAAGAGCTTTTCTCCCAACAGCCCTCTGATTTCATGGCATAGTGTGGACAGTGGATTAAACATATGGAAAGCCTTAGGTTTGAATCCCAGTTCTGACACTAACCAACCTGGTCAAACCTCTTAGCCTCAGTTTTCTTATCTATAAAATGGAGATATAACATTTGCACTATTTACCTCACAGGATTATTATTAAAATCAAATGGGATGTCTGTAAAATGCTTTACAAACCTTAAAGTGTTATTTTAAAAAAAAGGGGGAATCATTATTCCCATTTAGCAGATAAGGAAAACTGAGGCTCAGAAAAGACAAATGATTTGTCATTTGATTCAAGTATTACAGTGAATGAGTGCTGAAGCTGGACTCAAGACAAACTTCACCTGCTTCACAGTTTTGGCTAGGGCTATCCATGGCTATTTCTATAGGTGCCCTCAAATTTGAGGTAGATGTTTGTAACTCTAAGACTAACTGGTAAGACTGGTGAAGTAGATGTGCATCAATGTTGTGAAACAAATAGAATGTTATTTGGTTTTAGAAGACGATGAAACTCCCCAAACATATTATCATCTATTTAAAATGTCTGGCATCTTGCCTCAGTTTTATTTCTGACCTTATGCAAAAGAGGACAGCTGTCACAGCCGGGCCAAAGCTAGGGCATTTGGCTTAGTTCTAGACAGAATCTTCCCAGTAGTAGGATTCTGGAACTGACCAGGAGGGAAGGGGATCTCTCTCTCTATCTTAGTAACAGAGTTATTCACAAATTTTTATAATTTTATGATATGGAAATATCGCCTTACAGAGCAATGGGGTTATTTCACTCACTGAACCAGGAAACAGGTGTCTGTCAGAATGGAGGATCTTATAGACCAGGGGTAAGGAACCTGTGGCCTCGAGGTCACATGTGGTCCTCAAGGTCCTCAAGTGAATCCAGTAGATAGGGTCAAAGGGCTATACTTGAGGACCTAGAGGGCCACGTGTGGCCTCAAGGCAGTAGGTTCCCCACCTCTGTCGTCGACTCACAGAATCTCAGGATTGGAAGAGAATCCAGGAGTCATCAAGTCCAGCCTACCCTTAAACAGATATCTCTAACCTAACACCCCTGACAATTGGTCTTCCATCCAACTTCTGTTTAAAGACCTCCAGTAATGGGAAACTTAATGACTCCCAAGATAGACCCATTCTACTTTGGGGCATTTTTCCCTTGCATTAAACCAAAATCTACTTTTCTAAGTTGTAACCACTGCTCCGATTCTTCACTCTGCAGCCAAGAAGAATAAGGCTACGAGTCCATCGAATACCTGAAGACAGGAAACATGTTCCTTACTCTCTTCTTTTCTCTAGGTTATATATCCCTAATTCCTTCTCCAACCACAAAGGGCGGTCTACAGCTGCTTAATCATCTTAGTCTCTCTCCTCAGAGCCTGTTCCAGTTTGCCAACATCCTTCCTAAAATGTGGCACCATCAAATTAGATACAATATTCTAAACACAACCTGAAGCAGAGGAGACCCTTGAGGTCATTCCCTGAGGGGGAAACGATGGTCCTGGAATAAGAAGACACCTGGGTTTAAATCCTACCTCTGACACTTACTATTGTGTGACAATTGGTGATCACTGAACCTCTTGGAGTTTCAGTTTCCTCAGTTGTTCACGCAGGGTTATTCCTGATTCCTGGCATTTCTATGGGTTGTCCTCCTTACTTTAAATTGTCTCCTCATCTCTGACTTCAGGCTTCTCCGGCTCCCTTTGATCTGTTAAAATCTCACCTTCTGCAAGAGCCCTCTCCAAATCTCCCTTAATACAGTACCTTCCTTGTATTGTTTATCTCCACTTTATCCTATTTATTTCTTGTTTGTATAGTTGTTCGCATGTTGTCTCTCCCCGTAGATGGTGAACTCCTCCAGAACAGGATTGCCTTTTGCCTTTTTATGCCCAGAGCTTAGCATGGCACTTGGCACACAGTAGGTACTTAATAATTGTTCTCTGACTGACTGGTAACATGAGATAATATGTGTGAATCTCTTAGCAAGTGTTTGACGTATACATGATAAGTATTATTCCTGTCCTTCGAGTTTATATAACCTTGAGGCCCATGACATACTCTATAGATGTTCTCATAAACCCCATGAATTTTCAGTTTGATGAGGGTACAGCAAGATGGCTTGTCAAGCCCTTTCAGGTTCATTTTCAAATTCTCAGCTTGCAAAACTAAGCCTCAGACAGGAAGCCCTCCCGTGAGCATGTTGTTAGGTCCTTTTATAGGTCCCTTTGAAGTCTGTGAATGGTGTTCCTGGCATTGCATAGCTTTTTAGAAAGAAAGTGCTGAAAATCCTATTTGCTGAAAATATGACACACAACTTACAGGATGACTTCTTCCTCTGATTGGAATGCCATCCTTGGAATAATTATCGGCTGAAAAACAAATAAGACTTTGGCCTTATTTTTGTGATTTTTTTTAAACAAAAAAGCCTTTATCAGGAAAATGAGGGGCCTTTATAATACATGTTTCATTTACTTTAGGTGGAGTGGTTTCCTTTGTTTATGAAAACTTCCTCTGGGTCTATATGAATGTAACTTGGAGAAATACCCCTTTGTTCTTCTGGCCACAAGTGATTTCTCCCTGTCTGACTCAACTCTGAACTTTGTACTACTCCTTTAACACTCTTCCATTCTGCTTTGTGTTAGGGCTATTTGCGTACAAGTTTCATTTTCCCTAGAAGACTATAGTCACCTAGCCTCTCAACCTTAGTTTCCTCATCTGTAAAATGGGAGTAATAAGAGCATGTACCTCACAAGGTTATTGAAAGGATAAATTTGTGAAATGCTTGGCAATTCTCAGCACAATATAAATATTGGCTATTATTATATTTAAAATGCTGTGCCAATCTTTAAGCATTTATAAATGTGAGTTATTATTAACATCATTATTATTATTACAAGTACTTTTAGGGCAGAGAACTGGTCTCATTCATCGTGGTATGCTCCATGTGGCAGCAAGTGCCTGCGTGGGCAATTGTCCTGGATGGTTCAATTGCCTGAACTTTTACATCCATGGGTCCTTTGCATCCCTCACCATTCTTTAGAAGTAAAGCACCAGGGGGCAGCTAGATGGCGCAGTGGATAGAGCACTGGTCCTGAAGTCAGGAGGACCTGAGTTCAAATGCGACCTCAGACCAAACATTTGACACTACCCGTGTGACCCTGGGCAAGTCACTTAACCCCAATTGCCTAAAAAAAAAAAAAAGAAGTAAAGCACCAGAGGGACAGAGATTGTGTCATATTTATAACTTTGCATTCAGATTTGGATAGGAGGAGGAAAAAGATCATATTTTGGAAACCACTGTACAGGGAGAGGAGCAGCAACTTGAAATGGAAAAAACATGGCATTGCTACTTACTGCCTGTGTGGTTTTGGTCAAGCCTCTTGATTGCTCCAATATGTCAGTTTCCTCAGCTGAAAATGAAGGCAGCTAAGTGGTGCAGTAGATAGGGCACTGGCCCTGGAGTCAGGAAGACCTGAGTTCAAATCTGGCCTCAAACCAAACACTTTACATTTACTAGCTGTGTGACCCTGGGCAAGTCACCCAATTGCCTAAGGAAAAAAAAATTAAAGAAAATGAAGGCTTTGAATTCAATTGCCTCTAAGTTCCTTCAAGCTCTAAGGTATCCAATGCATGATCCAAGACATGGATAGTTTTTTAGTGATCTGAACCAGTAGGGAGAATGTCCATATTGATGGGATCCTGTATCCACTGATACCCTTAAGAAGGAAATGGCAAACCACTCTAGCATCTGGAGTGACACCCAACATGGTGGTCACAAAGAGTCAGACATGAATGAAACAACTAAACAACAGTAACAAGAGAGACTGATGTTAGAGAGTTAGAAGACTTGAATTTGAACCCCAATTCTCAGGCTTCTCAGCCTTATGATCTGAGCAAGGTTGGGTGACCCCTTTGAGTCTCAGTTTACTTAACCGTAAAGTGGTGATGATAATTCTTAGTACCTAGGACTCAGAAAGATCTAGATTAGAGTCTCAACCATGACACTTATTAGCTGTGTGATCATGGGCAAAGTTTCTGGATGGTGGTTTCTTTATCTCTAAAATGGGATAATAAAACTTAAGCTGTTATGAAGTGCAAATAAGACAACATATGTAAAGTGCTTTTCAAATTTTAAAGTGACCCATAAGTAGAAGTTATCCTTAAACCTTAAGGCAATGTAGATATGGGGGCAATTTGTATTATTTGCTTTTCTATTGCTCTAAACTCTGTACTCTGAAAAAAATCCAATTTGATCTCTTATGTTTGTGCTTTCAAGAACTTTTAGGCAATATTAAATCTCCTATTAAATGTTTTTAAAAATTACTTTTTCATACAAGTGTTTTTTTAGATGAACATTATCTTTTGTATGTGCAAAATCCTTGGGTCATTCATGTTTTCTCCTTGACAAGAAATTCAGCTGGGCCTGGGAGAGGAGCAACAGGAAGATGTGTACTTTGAGATTCTCTTTGCAGCAGTGTTACTGGGCTGGGCTGGGCTGCTTTACACATGCCCTCTTGTTCTGTTCTTACCCCAGCACAATTTGCCAAGGATGTGGCGAAAGGTCATGGGTAACCACCAAACTAACTCATCCATGCCTTGACTGAACTCATGACTCTGATAACCAACTGATAAAACAAGCCACAGGGAGGGAAGAAAAGAGGGCAGGGAAGGAGTCCTCTGTCAAATGAGGAGCTTGGACTAAATGCTTAAAGTCCCTACTAGCTCTAACAATACTCTACAGTTTGAGGATTGGTCAAGGGGAACTTGGAGGACCATCCAGAAGGGTAAGTCCAGGGAATAATTGTGTAGCCAGGACGTTTGAATAAACAATTGTATATCTATGGCTGCCCCTGGAGCTGTGGAAGTGACGCTTCATAAAGGTTTCTCCTCCTCACAATTCCCGTCCTTGTATAAGTAAATATGGGGAACAAAGATCAGTCATCCACTTTGCATCTGCTCCTTTGCTTGGGTTTCAAATGTGCAAAACAAGATGCTTAGATACCATCTCCCTCAGTCTCCTCTCCCCTGATTGGAAGGTGGGAGGGTAGAATACCAAACTCTTCCCAAAGCCTTTCTTAATAGAGGGCAGCAATTGGACTTCCAGCTCACTCCACTTTGCATCTGCCTGGTTTCAACTCCACTAAACAAGATGACAACTCAGGGGCAGCTAGGTGGCACAGTAGATAAAGCTATGGCCTTGGACTCAGGAGGACCTGAGTTCAAATCTGACCTCAGACACTTGACACTTACTAGCTGTGTGACCTTGGGCAAGTCACTGAACCCTGATTGCCTCACACACACACACAAAAATGCCAACTCACCAGCTACCCTTGGTGTCCTCCCCTCTCTTTCCTGCCTTCTCTGTCTTCTCCCATTAGATTGTAAGGTTCTCAAGAGCAGGAACTGCCTTTATTTTTCTGATTTGTATTCTCCGCACTTAGCACATAGTAGTATTAACACATGTTTACTGAAACGAATTAAATTGACTTACATTAGATTGTTTCACACTGAGGCTTTTCCAGTTCCTAATACCAGAATCTGGAGCTATGTCTCAGCACTATGGTCAACATGGTCAACATTTTGGACTAAAGAGACCAATCCCAACACTAATTGCTTTAGGTCAATATGTGCTATTTTGATGCTTACCCAGGATGGCTTGTCTTAAGTCTTATATCAATATACCTGTGAAGTGTTACACTCTGAAGACTCAGGTTCCAATCCAGGTCCTGTCAATTCCTAACTGTGACTGTGTAGTAAGTAACTTTTCTTCTCCAGGGCTCAGTGGTTAAAGGAAGGGTTTCGATTAGATCTCTATATTCTTCTACAGTTCTTTTCACAGAATCCTGAAACGGAAAGGAATTTAGATACTAGCCATCTCATTCCCCAGAGGAAACTGAGGTCGAGTGTGCTGGTGTTTTGACAACTGTGGCTCTCTGGGGGGAAAAAAGGTCCCCGGACACACTTTAAATTTAAACTGCACTATTAACATTTTCTCAAGCCTAGACATTTGGCAAAAAATCAATCAATCAATCAATCAATCAATCAGACAAGCCCTGATTTGTAACCTTTACTGAACTGAGATGGGTGAATGCTCAAAATGAAAATTTAACAATTGGCTCTCCTGCACTTAAGGCAGGACTAGAAAGAGCTTTATAGAGTCGAAGACTCTGGGCTTGATTCCTAGCTCTGCCCTTTACAGTCTGTGGGGACCCTGGGCACTCTGGTGAAGTCTTGGGGTCTTCCTCCATTTCCTTATCTATAAAATCAAAGCTATCTTGATGAGTTTATAGGGTCTCTTCCAGTTCCTAAGTCCATGAACCTGTGAAATAATTGGCCCCAAGTCACACAAGGAGCTGGCAGTCAATCCAGAATCTCAGGACAAGTCAATTCTCAGCACCTCCAGGTCCGGGCCTGTGTCGTTTTTTAAATCTTGGGCGATTCCTAGGCACACCGCGGTATCGTGTACGATAGAGGCAATTACGGGGTTATTTATTCAGTTGGACTGAATTCAGTTCTCACTCCTGGGAGATTTTCTTATTCCCCACCCCCACCCCTCATTGCTCCACACTACACATTCCTTAAAAATAAAAAAACCCCTTCTTTTATGTTTATGTCTTCAAGTACTTTTATGCTATATGAAATCTCCTGGTAAATGTTTCTTAGAATTACTTTACATGCAAATGCTTTTCCCACTGCAAATCTGTGACACCTCCTTTGTTTTGGTTTCTCTCCCCAGTCTTCCAGGACATCTTTTGGCTCCTGTTCCCTGAGGCTCCTGTCAATGTCTAATTGCATTCTAACATGCCTGGCTTTTTTTTTTTTTGGCTGAGCTACACTGACTTCATTATTATTAGCTTGTTTTTATTAAGTTTTGCTTGAATGTCTTCAATATATGAGAAAATGCACCCTGGGTGTCCTTGGCCAAGTCACTTAATCCCTCTGGGCCTCAGTTTCCTCACCTGTGAAACGAGGGGCTTGGACTAGATGACCTCTAAGGTATCTTTAAATCTATTATCCTGGAAAACACTTAACAGTTTAAGATTTTAAAAAAGTACGGAAAACAACTTTCTTTTCATTCCTAGTTTTATATAATCTTACTTAATATTTTAAGGATCCACGATTATTATTTTATTTTATTTTTACATTTATATTAGGCATCTAAGTAGCACAGTGGACAGAGTGCTGGGCATGGAGTCAGGAAGACTTGAATTTGAATCCAACTTCAGATATTTTCTAGCTGTGTAACTAACCTTGGGCAAGTCACAACCTCTATCAGTCTCAGTTTCCCTACCTATAAAATGGGGATGATTATAGCATCTACCTGCCAGAGTTGTTGTGAGGATCAAATGAAATAATATAAAGCACTTTGTAAACTTTGAAACTCTATGTAAATGCTTGCTATTATTAATATTTTTATTATTACTATTAGAGCAAATCGCAACCCATCCAAATACCTTAGTAGATAGTTTAATGAGTTATCATGACAAAAAGATGGCACAGTAGATGCAGCACCAGGCCCGGAGTCAGGAAGACTCATCTTCTGGCCTGACACTTAGTAGCTGTATGACTCTAGGCAAGTCACTTCACTTGGTTTGCCTCAGTTTCCTCATCTGTAAAATGAGCTAGAGAAGGAAATCGCAAACCATTCTACTATCTTTGCCAAGAAAACCTCAAATGGGGTCATGAAGAGTTAGACAATGAAACAACTGAACAACAATAACATGGGCCAAAAAAAAGTATCTACTAGTGTCCACTTCTTTGGTGATGACCCCTTTAAACTTATCTAGGGTAGTCCTCTGAGGATACACACAAAGTTAATTGTGGTACCATATTCAAAGACTTTCCAACATGGTATGGCCTACAAGAGCTTCTCCTTCATTGGTATAACCTTTGATGGGGTCAATTCTATATCATGATGAGAGAAAGTGATTTTGTATAGCTATGAAGTGGCGTATAAATTTTGGGAAGAAAAACCTTTGGGCTGAAGAATCAGGAGACTTGAGTACTAGTTGCTGTTCTGCCACTAGAACCCATACCCAAAAGACATGCTTCAGATCTGTTTAGGGAGATGAGACTCACAGTGAGTTCACAGGCATTTACTGAGTACTTACTTGTGTGCCAGGCACTGTCCTAAGCATTGAGGATAAAAGAAATTGCAAAAACAAATCTTTGACCCTCAAGGAACTCAGATTCTAATGAGAAAGGGAAGAGGAACAAGAATTTGGACAGCACGAGCATTTGGGAGAGACAAGAACATGAATATACTCATGTACATTCAAGATATATACAGTGCAAATAGAAGATAATCTCAGAGGGAAGGCACAAAAGGTATATACATTAAAATTTAATAATCCCACAGGAGGAGCCCAAAGTGCGATGAGATTAGACGAGGGGCCGCTGAGAAGACAGGGAAATGCTCGATGGTGGAGGCGGAGTTTGAAGGCT